AAGCAGGGTATCGACAAAGTTGACCATGTAGAGGCTGAATGACGTTAGTTTATGTTGGTCACTAGAAACTGTGTGAATGCTACTCACAAGCCAAAGACTGCCCACATCATGGCCGGGGACCAGATTTGGGTAACGGCTTCAACCGCCTTTACACCATCCTGCTTGATGCCGCTGTCTTCCGAGTCGCTCTCCTTGTCAGGATAGTCGTTGACCTGGTTCTCGGGGTTGATCTGCTTCTCATAGTCGCGCTCCTCCTCGGCTGGCGCCGGGCTGATTTGTGCAGCCATTGTTGCTTGGTTTGCACACCTGCGGGCTCAAAGGGTACTTGAAAGAGCTTGAGAGGGAAGAGAGTGGGCTTTAGATGGCCAGGGCACTCTGAGGTCTAAAGGACAGGCGTGGAGAATGAGAGAGCAGAGTAACAGCGACAGTCCGGCTTTATACACAACGTTGCATTCACTCATAAACGGCCAGACGGACGAAGCTCTTTGTCCGTACAGCAGTCAATTGGGGATCGGGGCTGGACATCTTGCTGGATCCTGCAGGGATCGTCTTACAGTTTGACCCTGTCCTGGAGGGAGAGAAATGGATGTCCGTCGCCTGTTCCGGAAGTCGGACTAATGCCAAGATTGGGCCCCCAGAACGAGAACGAGAAGAATAGAGAACGAGAGATGCATATTGCAGGATCCATCAGGTCGTATGTAGGGAGTATGGACCTCCAAGGTGGAGTTTGGGTCGCGTGTGAGTAGTCAAACATGGGATAATAGCATCGGACGTGGAAGCCATGGTGTCTGATTGGACCGTGTACAGGGAGCTCATGAGTAGATCGTTGCCGTATGGAGTTGAAGGAAGGATTTGTCCCCCATCGGAGGAGCTCGCCTCAAGGATGCTACATGTTTCTCAGTCTCTCTCTTTTTTTCTTGCATTATCAGATGATCAGATAAGCTGATATATCGGGCGCAGTCTCTGTTGATCCCACGCTATCCTTGGAAAGCTAGCCAGCCAAGCAATGCTCTCCTGTGACAACACACAAATTTCACACTCCCTTCTTTCCCGAGCGATTGGTACAGACGCGAGTCAGGGCACTCTAGGACCCTCTGATGGTCAGGACGCTTCTTCTTGCCAAGACGCTCGTTCTCGTGGCTTTTTCTCCTCTGGCTTGCATGGTTAGGGCCCTGGCAACCCCGGCTTATGACCGGTTCCTCGCTTGCTTTTTTTCACTCTTTTCAATTTCTGTTGTGGTTCTTCTTGGCGTTTCTGGAGAAACAATGTTAATGGGGATGGCCTGCTTCCCTCCTCACGATCTCGACTGATATTTTTACCCGAGGTTAACAATGAGAACGGTTTTCTCACAGTCGTGAGTTTAAGGTGAGGCGTCTCAGCCCTGGCGCTTGTCAAGGGGCGCAAGCGTCTGCGAGCCGTCGTCTAGAAGTGCCGGGGGTGTGTGGCAGCTCGACCTCATCCATTCACTCACTCACTCACTCACTCAGTTGATGGGAGATAAGATAAGATCAATCTAAAAGAGGCTCTCGCCTCGAGGCGAGGCGCCATTTACATCTCTTCCCATCCCACGCATGGCACTTCAGGCGGGAAGGACCGTCCTTGGGGGCAAATCGGTTACAGTGTTGGCTAACGCCGACCATTTGGGGTTTCTTGGCCTGTACCGCGTGGCAAGCATGAGATCTGTTCCCTCAAGCGGTGGATATCGGTCCTTTCAAGTTGCTCAGACCAACTCCGCAAGTCCACATTGGCCCGCCAAGCCGGACCTTTTTGGGCCAGGGTACTTCTGTAACGTTATTTGAGGGCCAGTGAGAGTGAATTACTCATACGTAGGAGGCTTTTTCTAGATGCTGTTGGTTTACTACTTTTCTCCCTTGTCCGTTAGCTCAAAGTGGCTAACGACATGACCAACAACTGAATTGATCGGGTCAATCGGCTTGAGCAATATCCGCCAAGTCTATACGGAACTGACATACGCAAGTATTAAAAAAACACTCGAAACGGAGGCCACCGGCAAGTCGCGCGGAGATGGGGTTGAAAGGAACAAGGTCCCTCCCCCCGTGGGTCTACAACCTTCAACCCACCAATGCAACACGACGTGAATCCTGTTGCCTTTAGATGTGGAAACCTCAATGCTACAATGCCTGCCAAGCTGTGGTCCGAGCCAAGGTACGTGGGGGGAGAAGACCTGAAAAGCTCAGGCTATACGTAGCATCGGGAATTGACAACGGATGAGGCCGTCGTTTAGCAGGCGAATGAATCTACTCTATTTACAGGAGAAGCTAATGATCCTGATTGATAACAGAAAGTAATCAATCCTAGACACGCCATTCAAAGAGTGGTCCCCTCATCCTCGTCAAACATGGTTCCCTCCCACCATGGGGTCGGAAGCATTCGGATGGTTCGCCGAATTTGACAGCCCTGTTGAAGTCCTTTTTTTATCCCCCGGAGAATTTGTCTTGAATGAATCATGGTCGTGCTTCCTCGCATCGTTTTTCCCTAAACAGGTAATTGTGGTCTCGCCACTCTGAAAAAGTCGCCTTAGACAAGTGACGTACATGGCAATAAAGAGATCCCCTTTTTACTTATGTTAGTGTCATTTAGTTCAAGAAATTTCTGGATCTGCTAGTTTGTAGTATAGATAATGATTCGAGATCGAGGGGCACGGTTAACTACAAGGGAGTTGATGGGGCCGTCCGTATATTGCCGCTTTCAGAAACCGTTGCGATGATACAGTTACAGTGTAGACAATAACAAGTTCATCCGAGGGTCCGTTTAGCCCCTGTAAGTTGCCACTACAAGATCTCAAAAAATTGGTCAACTTGAAAGCACGAAATGTCCAATCCGTCCAGATGCTACCATCTGCATATGCCAACCATCCAACCAGAGGATGAAATTACCCCCATCACGAGACTAATCCATCTCTTTGACTGCGCGGAGACTCCCATTGGGTATCTTGCAGGGATCTTCACTAATCACGGTTAATATCTCTCTACCCTCACTCAAATTGAGATATAGAACTAACATCTCGCCATAGGCTAGTATGCGACTTAGATAGTGATCTAGTAGTGGAGACTGGTACCGTGTGGGAGTCTTCGCGCAGTCAAAGAGATAGGAAAACCCCGTCGACCCCATGCTCCGCAAGAATTGATACCCTCACCAGAATATCAAACGATCCATGCAAGGTTTTCCCGGGTTCTCACTGCAGGCCAGGATGCAAGGGTGTTGTGACGGGCCAGGGGGTGTAACGTAAAAGCCGATCTGCTGATGAGCCGTTTACAAAAGGAATCATATCCCGCTGTTGTACGACGTACGGGCTGTCCAATGTCAGTTCGGTTGAAATAATGCCCGGGGTTCTTGCGTGGGGTGACTCGGCGATTTAACCAGAGTTGTTCTTGGCGACGAATTGAGGCCGCTGCTCCAATGGGTTGAATGAAAGTGGCCGAAACCATTGAGTGTGATTGCTATAAAATAAAGGATGATCTAAGTGGTCTATGGATCAGACAAAAGCGGCGGTAGAGTCTCGTTGGCTGACCCAAGGAGTTGATGTCCGACGTGATTCTCAACAACTCGGAAGTTCACGGCAAGTTGTAGGTCGATATAGGCCAAATATGCGACTCTACATGATAGATTGATGTCTAGTTCTTAATGAGAACGTACTTCTTAACTCTGGCCACTGCCTATCGCCCCCAAGATGACCTGGCCGCAGTGGCATACCCTTCCATCCAGCGGCCATTTCCTTCATCCTTCGAGGTAGCCACATGTTAAATACCGATATATCAGACTCATTATGAGACATTCTATAGTGGAATAAATTACTCCACCGGAGTAGGAGTTCGTAGTCCGGTCCGGGCTGTCGGGGAGGGGATAGTCTGGTGGAGGGCGTGGGGTGCCCACCTGCGGCAGCCAAGCAGCCAAGGAACTATTCTAGATCATTTAAACAAGACATGGGATCAAGCGGTACGATTCTGAAGCGTGATGTAGCTTTACTGGGCTCAGAGAGGGCAGAGTGTGGCAACCTGGGGAGTAGGGGCCGGAGCCACAGAAGCAGTGTCACTACCTACCTTGAGTTGACAACCAGAAGTCTATTGTAGTCCTTACACATTGTTGAATAAGAAAAAAGTTACATATGTACATCTACTGTGTCATGGTTCTTGTTAAGCTTGACCTGAACCCGCCCAAGCTGCCTATGGTCGCACTTACACCAGTGCCTATCGGGTGAGCAGCGAGGGATAGCAACAGCCAAGTTTCCCAACGCTGAATTGTTTTTATACAAACTTTGCTTAGGCATTTGCCTCTTAATATAGAATGGGTTTGTCCTTGTTGTTTTGTATGTCGCATCACCTTGATTCAAGCTTTAGAGTTGCATCTTCCACCCCAACCTTATTTATCGCCGAACCCTTGATACATTTTCCATGCGAGTGTCAACTCTTGAGCATACTTTTATGTAGCAAGAAACTTGGTAAATCCATGCCTCGCTGCTTCACTGTCTATACGAAGTCACGCAGATTGAGCTGTTGCAAATTTCCAGCTTGCACGCATGCCATTTGAACATCTAAAAATTGAAACTACTACGGCCTGATCCTCTACTTCTATGCTAAGAAGTGCCGAGCAAACTGGGCTAAGCAGTAACTACTATCAAATCCATATTCACTACTTGAACGTTACCATTAGGTATAATCATGCCTACTGAGAGCTTGTTAGAACTTGATTCTGCCGAGTTGACCATTTGACTTTGTGAATGCATACATGGACTTTACAAGGAGGTTACATATACCCTTTCATGTTATATAAACATATGAACATCCCATCGGAGCTCGAAACAGGACATCGACATCACAGGATCTTCCAAAGCATTGGAGTCAAGAGCTTATCGTAATACTTTCGAGAATTTATTCTGCCTTCACTGAGAACATCGCACCTTAACACATTCGTGAGTTGTCAACGAGACCAAGACCACGAGCATATCATCTAACCCTCGCAACCTCCAGATACCGAACGAGATGGATCCTTTCCTGTCACTTCCCGCTGAGCTTCAGGTTCAAATTCTGACCCAACTCCAGACAAGCAGCCTCCACCAGATGATCAGGGCGTCGCCGGCCATGCTGCATGAGTATACGCATTCCAAGAGCTACATTGCCGGGGTGTTTATATCAAAAGACTTTGACGATGAGCTCATGCAAGATGCCATGGCGGTTCTGACCTTCCCGGATCTGGATGCTCCCGATTATCCCCATGAGGCCGTTGAACATCACCTCGAGATGTGGGCGTCGAAGCAGTTGTCCAACCCCCTCGAGACACATGACCAGGAGGCCATAGAGGACCTGGAAAGGCTACGTATTCGACTTCGCATCTTCATGGGAGACTACGTAGCCAAAGCAATAGCTCGTGTCCCTTTCCGCCAGTACCGCCAGCTTCCGACCCCTTCACCAACCCAGGCTGGCATTTTCGACGTTGACCGGTTGAGCGACTCGGAGCGGAGAAGATTCTTCCAGGCCTTCTTGAGGTACGAGCTTCTCTCCAAAATCTACAGCCAGACGTGTAGTCTCGGCTTGTACTGGCGCTGGAATTGGAAGAAGCTCTGGGAGGTTAGAGACGTTCGTGTTGGACCGCACTGGGAGGTGGAGGCACTTCTTTGCGTCCACAACTACCTCGAATCGCTCTACGGGGCCATGATTATTCGTTGCAACGATGCCATGGCACGAGAGAAACGTTCCCCTTTTCGACGACAATGGGATGGGTACGACACTCACTGGAACCCTGAATACTCCCCGTGTCTATCTAAGAGCGAGGCCCGCGTCGCGGGTACCTTGGCGCATCACGGCCTTGACCTCGTCTCCAGCATACTTGGAGTCGCCAACACTGGCATCGGTGGCTGCCGTCGTCTTGGGTCATGGTTTAAAGCCTTCAACACCGAGGTCCACAACCGTTCCGTTGATTCCTTGCCCAACACCGACCTGGGCACCACAACTCACGAGGCACCGGGCTTGTACAAGAAGTTGCTCGGCTACTCATTGTTGGATACCTTCATGAACTCGGAACTTTACAGACAGCGAGCCTGGGCCTTCTTTGATGATGATCGGTTCATGCCTAACCGTGACACATGGGAACTGTTTTCGGGTGATGTCTGGCAGGATGATATACGGAACAATATCCCGTATGATCACTTCAAGGGGCAGGCGGAGACCTTGGACGACGATAGCGACGATTACTCGGAGGAGACAAGGGGCCATGGGAAGAGAGTCGTTCTAGGACCGCGACGGTTCTTTGCGAGACAGCTGGAGGGCGAGTTGGTTGTTTTCTGGCCCAGCTCAACATCCCACAACTGTACCTTTATGCACTCTGGCCTTGGTGCCTATGCAGGGCCCCTTGGAGGTCTGTAGTTGTGAATGGGGTTTTGCTTTGGGTTCTTTAACTTGAGCTATTTGACGGGTTGCTGGTTGATCATGATTGGGTATAAGGTAGAGTTGAGATAATAGAAAACGCAATGTCGCTCTATTTCAATGTACATACCGTTAACTTGATCTCTCTTATCGACGATACTTGAGGTTAGTCTATCCGTCTTTATCTATTGCCCTACAATCATTGGAAGATCTCCTTTGAAACCTGCCTGACTTCGCAAATGGAACAGGGAGTATTACAACCGCGCCCACAGTGGTAGACGATGGCCAAGTAAGCATTGCGAACCAGCATGATGTTAGAGAGCGAGAGCGCTTCTAATTTAGTGAAATACTCCTATAAATTGAACTTTTCTGCATCTTACCGTCATGCGGTATTTGGCAGTGCTCTTAACTGTGACTGAAACTGGGCAATATGGTTACTTGACTGTGTCGACCAAGCTCTCGATATTCTCCTCGGTTTCGGGGATGACCAACTCTGGCCTGGCAGGAACGTAGTTATCAAGAGAAAACGAGTAAAGACTGTTTGTCCAAACATATAAACACGAGGGGCAAAAAGCAAAGCACATTGGGTGTTAGGATTGGGGCTTGTGATCTTCATGGCCGTGTGACCCTCGCATCTCAGTATGATCATCTACCTAGATCAGCAAAAAGGAACTCCGGTACAGGGAATCGAACCCTGGGCTCCGCGGTACTGTTCCCTCAGGTTATGAGAGCGCGAAATGTTAGCCACTACACCATACCGGATGATGTTGCTTGGAAAGGTGCCCTCAAAGCTGGCATTATGGATCCAGGGTAGCCCACGTGATGCATTGGCAGACTCATCATGACGCTAACCACATGAAGCTTGTGTGGGTCTGAGGTCACTGTACGTCATCGGCTCATCGTCATGCGCCACACCATCTAGAGGAGCTTCAGCCTTCCCATTTGCACCTCAGTGCATAAACCGTCAATTATTGCAACTCCGCTGGCCCAGCACCGCTTTTCAAGATGGCGCTGGAAGACGATGAAAAAGGATGCACGAGGGAGGATTTGATGGCCCCCAACAACGAGAAAAACTTCACGGTCCAGCTTGTCTTGTCCTTGGCGATAGGCGCGTCCGCCTTTTTCCTCTTCTGTGTATGTCATGTCCAGCTTCACCGTTTTTCCACGCCTTGCCTTGGGCTCTCGGTCTCCTCGAGATCCTTTGTGCATCATTGAGCATAATGCTGATATTCTACAGTTTCTACGCCCGCGATGGCCATCTCTCTACGCCGCACGAAAACGCCGTCTCGGCCACACGCTCGGCCTCCCCTCCCTGCCCAATTCTGCGTTTGGCTGGATTCCGCCCCTATACAGGATCACCGAAGAGCAAGTTCTTGCATCAGCTGGCCTGGATGCTTTTGTGGTACGAGCCAAATCTTGATAGCGTATGGACCAGTGCTGATGAACCATAGTTTTTGAGCTTTTTCAAGATGTCGACCCGTCTCTTTGCCGTCATGGCTTTCTTCGCAACCACTGTTCTCTGCCCTATCAACATCAAATACAATCATCTTAAATTTAAATTTGACCTTGGACCTGGCTTAGGGGGCACCAAGCCCGAAGCCCAAGATCTGTTTGATGCACCAGGTCAATCTTCGCTCTGGACCTCGGGCGTTGACCCGTTCAAAGACAAGGACGGGGATGACGTGGATCTCAGCGCGGAAAAAGGCTGGCTATGGTCATATGTCATCTTCACCTACTTCTTTGTCCTCTTGACTATCTACTTTGTTAATTGGGAGACATTCCGCATCATTCGATACCGCCAGGACTACCTTGGATCCCAATCCACAGTCACGGATAGAACATTCCGTCTTACGGGCATCCCGGACGACTTGAGGTCTGAGGGTCAAATAAAGCAGCTTATTGAAAAGCTGGGTATTGGTACTGTCGAAAAGGTCACCATCTGCCGCGACTGGAAAAGGCTTGACGACCTTGTGGATTTGCGAGAGACTACCCTTCGAAGTCTCGAGGCCGCCTGGGCAACCTTTCTAAACCGACAGCGCCAGAAAAAGAAGAACAGTCGCCGACAAGAACAAGCCAACGGCGCAACTCCCAGCGACTCCCAGGATCGAGGGCTGGATAATGAGGCTGGCGAGAACGGACATCTCCTGGATTCGGACCAGGGACCGTGGGATTCTGAGGACGAAGGAAGGCCCAAAGTTAACATCCGTTACGGTACTCTTGGTTTGCGGTCCCGAAACGTCGACGCGATCGACTATTACGAAGAAAGACTTCGACGACTGGATGCTAAGATCATTGACGCTCGTGGCAAGACGTACACAGCTACCGACATGGCCATCGTTACTATGGATTCAGTTGCCTCTTGCCAAATGGTGATTCAGGCACGCATCGACCCAAGACCCGGCCGGCTGTTGACAAAGCCAACCCCAGCCCCTTCGGACCTGGTCTGGAGGAACACTTACTCACGACGCGGCGTTCGTCGTCTTAAGTCGTGGGCCATCACGCTGTTCATCACGTTTCTCACCCTGCTCTGGATCTTCCCCACGGCTATTCTGGCCTCCTGGTTAAGCATCTGCGCCGTCAGAAAGACATTTCCTAATTTTGCGCTTTGGCTACAAGGCCACGACATTATTCACTCACTGGTTCAAAACGGCCTCCCTGCTCTGGTCGTTTCACTTCTTAACGTTGCTGTCCCGTATCTCTACGACTTCCTCTCCAACCGGCAGGGAATGATATCTCAGGGTGACGTGGAGCTTTCCCTCATCTCCAAGAACTACTTCTTCACCTTCTTCAACACGTTTTTCGTCTTTGCGGTTTCAAAGACTGGATTCGAGTTCTTCACCGTCATGCGGAAATTCCTCAAGGACACCAGCCAGCTCCCCAGTGTCATTGCTGCCGATGTAGAGGGGCTCTCCACTTTCTACATCTCCTTCATCATGTTGCAAGGCATCGGCCTGATGCCGTTCAGAATCTTGGAGGCGGGGAGTGTGTTTCTCTACCCCTTCCTTCGGTCGATGGCCAAGACGCCGCGCGACTTTGAGGAGCTGAAGCAGCCTCCTCCCTTCCAGTATGGCTTCTTCTTGCCCACGGCCTTGCTTGTCTTCAATCTTTGCCTCATCTACAGTGTTCTCAATCGAGGGCTCATCATCCTTATCGTCGGCACCATTTATTTCAGCTTGGGATACTTCACATTCAAGTACATGGTACTGTATGCCATGGATCAGCCTCAACATGCAACCGGAGGTGCGTGGCGGATAATATGCCAACGTATCATCATCGGTCTACTTGTCTTTGAGGTGGTCATGTTTGGTAAGATTGCAGCGGAGAAGGCTTTTATTCAATCTGCATTCATCCTGCCACTGATGCCGTTCTCAATCTGGTATAGCTACTACATCAAGCAGCGGTTTGAGCCCCTCACCATCTATATCGCTCTCCGCGCCATTAGAGCTGGCGAGGACCCAGAGGACAGCGCTGCCATGGACGATGCTTTTGAGGAAGAAGACGGCCCTCGACCTTCGCAGGCCATCCTTCGCCGAGGAAGCACTCTTGACGAATACAAGGAAAAGGGACTCGTTTTTGTGAACCCCAGCCTTGTAGCCCCGTAAGTTTCACCAAATCCCCGAGATGACTCTGAGCTGACTTGACTGTGACAGATTGCAGCAGCCTTGGATCTACAAAGAACCACCCCCGCCGCTGCCCGAGAGTGAAACAGATGATCAGGAGCGACCGATCCTTCAGGGTGTCGATAGCACTCTTGGCATAGGGGAGGATAATGTCTGGCGAGATAACGGGGAAACTAATGTTTAACGAGGTTATCATTGAGAGGAGGGATACACGAACACGGCGCTTGTTTGGTTGTTAACAAGGAGTTTAGTTTAAACGTGCTTGATTTCCATAGTTTGTTGAGGAATAACAGGGGTAAGATATCAGTATCCAGATTGCCTGATCCGTTAGTTGACGTGAGACAGGAAGATTCTTCCTTGAGGGGAGGGGACTCTCCGAGGTTAACGCTCTTGCCTGTGATCTTTCTGAGGTAACTGCTTTGGGCAGGAACCAGGCTCTTAGCCGCTTCCTATTCATCCCGTTGCTGCAATGTGACTATCACCTCCTCACTTTTCCCTCACCTAACCTACAGACATATACCCTGTTACACACCCACAGCCTCCATGCGTGGGGGTTGGCCTCAAGACGTCTTCGGAAATTCTCCTATCCAGGGGTGCCGCTTTGGCTCGACCAACACCTCTACACCCTCATGGGCAAGTCGACTAGAGAATGGCGGCCTTGGCTCTGGTCTCTGGCCCGGGACCCATCCACGTCGTGCCAGCAGGCGCTGCCAACGTTCAGAGGCTACCCGGGAGCGATTATGGCATTCTTGGGCTGGATGGTGAGTGGCATCCATCCCCGCTGTGCCTTGAAGCGAGCTAACGAGGAGCCAGAAGACGCCCCCCTTTCGACGAGACTACCCTACGAGATTATGCAACAGATTTATCTTTACCTTGACCCAGAAGACTTCAACGCCGCTCGCTACACATCCCGCTCTTGGTTCCGTGCTGGTCTCTGCCATTCGCTTCTCGTCGAGATGCTCAAGAGAGGAGGATGGTGGAGCAGCCTGCAACAGATTTCGGAACCCCTGAGGATAACACGACCACGCAACATGTTAGATCAGGAGAGATTAATGAGCAAATGGATCTCAAGGGAGTGTGATCTGGCCAGCACGAAAGGGAGCGCGTTCAAACAGGTTGGGTTTACCGACTTCAGTGGCCTTGTTCCAGGTTCCACCACTGCCAGATTGCATGGGACCCTCGTCTTCACCATGAGCCTCTGCGGCCGGTTTCTGATGGTGACGCACGGACGAACCCTATATGTCTACGAGCTGAACCATGTCTGCTTCAGCAGGCGATTGAGCTGGTGTCTTCCGTTACGGCCGAGAGAGGGCAAACGTCTTGGCATGCTTCGACCAGCAGCGACTGTCGTATGTCCACAGCGTGTCATGTCTTGCAGTATGGACACATCATCAGGACGAAATGCTGTGGCAGTTTTGATGGAGGGACGCATGGGCATAGTGTGCGATGTCATGACCGAGACAAATGCAGCTTTGACTCAGACACGGTTAAGACGTTCAGAGGATGACTCTTTTGGGAGCACACCCAATCTGTTCAGCCGCATGCCAGCTGCATGCGTCTGCCGGGACACCCCCGTGACGCAGGCGCCGCGTCTGGAAGAAGGTCCGCGATCGGTATACAGAAGCATCTGTCATGCCAACGACCCGCCACGCTCGGTCGCCATCTGCCCTCACCGCAGCTGCGTGGCCTTTGGCTGCACAGGCGGTATTGAGCTTCA